GGAAAGAGATGATTCTTTCAGGGTAAAAAAGAGAGAATTCTGTTAAAAATTACCTTTGTTGGAAGGATACGGGGGGTGCTTGTTCATATTTCGCTGCTTCTGATTTGACTGAAAATATGAGGAAATTCTATGGATAATTATCTTGGTTCCTGGACATGCGAGGAAAAATGCAGAGTTCTCACATTCTGTTGCTTTCTCACATTGGTAAAAATAGCAAGAAAACAAGGGGGTAGGGTGGGGGTGAGGTTGGGGAGAATTGCACCCCATATTCTTTATAATGGGTTTTAGGACTGCAACAAATACCTGTTAATCTCATTGTTCCTCAGGGTCACTTGACTGTTCTGACTGGCTAAATAATGTCACCATTAGTGACATTAGTGGTGGTCTTCCTCATCACTCCTTAAGCATCCCTTAGAGCTTTGTTGCTTGGTTAAAGTTTTGAGAGTAGCTCTCCTTCCCTTCGAGAGCCTTTGTACATGCTCACAGGACCCAATTTTAGGAGAAATGCAGGGTGGGTGAACTTCTGTGGCCTCTGTCCTAGTTTCTTTCCCCAAATGATACCAATTTTGTGTTGTAGATTTTTTAAAAATTTGTCTTTCTGATTAATAGATCGAAAATAAGTCTTGAACTAAACGTTTTAATATTTTATGAGGAAAAAGTACTGGTAAAAATGATTTAGTCAGCAGTATAGAAATACTTAGTCTCTTGTGATGTTACACAGAGTTTCAGTTTATTTTCTGGTTTCAATAGAACAAGTTGAAATCATCGCAGAAGGATAAAGTTCGTCAGTTTATGATCTTCACACAATCTAGTGAAAAAACAGCAGTAAGTTGTCTGTCTCAAAATGACTGGAAGTTAGATGTTGCAACAGACAATTTTTTCCAAAATCCTGAACTTTATATACGAGAGAGTGTAAAAGGATCATTGGACAGGAAGAAGTTAGAACAACTATACAATAGATACAAAGGTGAGTGTTTGCTTGTGACTTTAAATATCTTGAACGAGGTTTTCCAAATTTACATGCTTCTTGGGCTTCCCTGGTGGCGCAGTGGTTGAGAGTCCACCTGCCAATGCAGGGGACACGGGTTCGTGCCCCGGTCTGGGAAGATTCCACATGCCGCTGAGCGGCTAGGCCCGTGAGCCATGGCCGCTGAGCCTGCGTGTCCGGAGCCTGTGCTCCACAACGGGAGAGGCCACAACAGTGAGAGGCCCACGTACCAGGAAAAAAAAAAAAGATGGACAAATTTACATGCTTCTTGTGAGAAATCAAATGATACAGAGACCATTAATTGGGTGGATACAGAGCTCTTTAGATCTTAGAATTACTTTAAGAAATCTGAAAAATTATTTTCCTCTTTTCACTAAAATTTCTTCTTAGTGTCTTTATTTCCTCCCCCTTTATCCGCCCCCCTCTTTCCTCCTTTGTGAACCAATTTGAGAATGGGGGCTGGGGGACTAGGTTTTTTCCCTCATTTTCTTATAAAACTCAGCTGAGTGGATTTTAAGAAAACCTGCCTAATAATTTTAATAACCTTTAAATAATTATAAAGTAATATACACTTAAAAAGTTAATACAGGATAGATTGAATAAAGAAAATGTTAATAGTTTCTCCATCTTTTGCTTATTTATTCTCCTGAGGGAACCAATATTTAATAGCCTGGTGTCCAACTTTCTGTGCATTTTATGTTTATGCAGAAATATATATGCAAAAAAAAAATTTCAAAATTTTTCCAAATGTGGGATTATATTTTATGCATAGCTCATGCCCCAAAAATCAAAGGCTGTGCAAATTTTTTATTCCTAGAGATATTAGCAAATCACATTTGACAACAGTGTATGAGTGCCTCTTTCTTCTTGTATTTAAATTTTTGCTGTCTGAAAAGTAAATATTGATAGTTGAGGGTTTTCTGCTTTAATTTGAACAACAGATGTTTGTATTGTAATTAAAATTGAATTGCAGAGTTTATGTTTTTTTCGATATTCTTTAAGAAGTGATTCCTGTAGTGAAATGAACTTTAAGAAAAAAAGAATTTCTGTGTATAATACTGTTTAGAATGCCTGTGTAAAATGTGGCTATGTTCAGTAAAAATCCTTTATCCCTATATAGGAATGTCTGATTTTCTGAATGTGTGTTAAGTATGGAACTTTTTTCATATGAATAAATGAGACTTAAAAGTCAGGTGCCTATCTGGATATATATCTTGCTGTTAATTGTAAGAATGCTGTTTTAGAGGCAAAGTGGCTTTAAATATTACAGGGGGAAAATATCTCATAGAGCAATATTGCTTCATATTTTTGGTCTATCATCATCATTTAAAAAAATGGAATATAAAGCAATACCTTTCTCAGTTTCAGGAGTAGCACAGTAAAGTATGGCACTGATTTCATATTGCATTGTTGTTTTTGAAGATCCTCAAGATGAAAATAAAATTGGAATAGATGGTATACAGCAGTTCTGTGATGACCTGGCACTGGATCCGGCCAGCATTAGTGTGTTGATCATCGCGTGGAAGTTCAGAGCAGCAACACAGTGTGAGTTCTCCAAACAGGAGTTCATGGACGGCATGACAGAATTAGGGTGAGTGTATAATTACCATAGGAAATTAGGTACATTACTGTGAGAATTACTGTGGAACTGACATTCGTGCCCCCAAACATTGCTATAGATAGAAATGGGCTAATATGCTAGTTCCTTCCCATGTCAAGTTATTTGTGTAGTTAGTACAACCTACTCTATTTGCATTATGCTTTTATCATTTGTTTCTAAGGGAGATTGACTAATGTTAAAATTACTGTGCTTTAATATTTTACATGGGTAAGTGAAACGAGCAAGTTTTAAGTTATTTCCTAATATGAGGCTGTGAACTCTGAACTTATAAACAAACTCCTAGAATTTAAAATCTTGGAAGTTACTAATCACTTTTTGTTCTGCATAGACCTGGACAACTGATTAGCTAAATGTCTGGGTATAAATAGATTGAAAAATCACAGGTAGCGGTTTTACCTGTGGCCTTTAGTTGTGTGTATTTGATGAAGCTCCAAAAGTATTCAATTTGTGGATCGGTAACAGGCTGCCCTTTCTGTTTTTAGTGGGTGCTTTTGAATGATAATAGCTAAACACTTTTTGAACGTTTATTTTCTTTCAGGAACTATGCTAAATAAGTACTTCACCTACCACTTCACAGCAACTTTGTGAGAGAAGTGGTGTTTATATCCGCATTTTAGAGATGAGGAAATGGAGGTACAGAGAAACTAGAGACGTAGTATTAAAGCCAGGATTTGGGCTCAGGCATTCTGATTCTTGGGCCTGAGGGACATTGTAATCAGTCAGGGTCCAGGCAAGACACACAAACCATACCAGTAATTTGAACAGGGTAAATTTTAAAAATTGTTTTATTGTGTAAATGGGGTAAAAGAAAACTCTCTAAGCATAACAAAGGTGGCAGTTGCAAGAAACTGCCATCACCCCTGGAACGGAGGGAAGGGAACAAGGAAGGAGCCTAGACACTTAAGAGGATCCCCACAAGGCTGAGATTCCGACCGCAGAAAACAGTGCGTAGCTGCTGTAGGAGCACGCTGCCTGCCTTGCCTGCTTCTCTGGTGGAGAAGCTCACTAGGGGCCACTTGCTGCAGAGCCATGCAAGTTGCCTCCATTGGTGAACACTGCAGGGACCTCCCAACACGCTGAAACCCTTGCTCTCTGCAGAAAACAGACTGGGATAAGAAAAGTTCGTTCGTCCTCTTCCAGCCTTTCATCGCCCTCTCTTGGTAGAACCTAATAGTGAGCCAGCTGGCAAGAAAAATGAAGTTTCACAATTTGTAGTCCACTGCAGATAGTCACAAAGTAGGGCAAAGAAGGGTGAGTTTAAAGCCGAGAGACAATAAATTAATAACTGGCTATGCCAGGACAGGTTTCATTAGAACTCTTTTTTTTTTTTTTCCATTTAAAAGTGAGTTCATGTAAAATGTAATGAACTTCCAAATCAGAATTTTAATTTATAAACTAATAATCTGGGAGGTGTTATAAAGAGCATGGAAGGAACATAAAAGCAAAAATGATTTGAAGGAAAAAAAGTAGAATGCTTGGTTTGTGGAATCTATAACAGATCGAAGATTTCTACCTTATGGCTGTTATGTGGAAAGTAGGACTTGGTACTTGGACCCTTTCAGCTCCTTGGAAATTGAATGCTTTGCACATATAGAGAAAGTTTAATATTGATTTGAGGTAACTTCAGTTGGAGATGGTTGGAGATGATGTTTATTATACTTTGTATATATCAAGAAGTTTTCAAGAGGAATGCTTGTTTCCTCACCTAGTCAAGACACTATGCTTTCAATTTGTTTGGAAGCTAGACATGTGATTTGTCTGTGTAAGGAATATCTGCTACAGTTTGAACTGATGATTGTAAAGCTGATTACTATACATTCTCATCTGTTCACTACAGCTGACTTCTGCAATTTGGGTGTGTTGACAGTCCAGTGAATTACATAATTAAAAGTAATAGCCCATTTCTTTTAAAAATAGTAGTTATTTCTAACATTGAATCACCCCAGATCTTTTCTTCCTCCATCTAACGCCATACTTGTTTATGTAATGTAAAAAGATGAAAATTTAATGGATTTTTAAAGAAGTTCTATGAAATATAAACTGTTGTAGGAATAAATGTTCTTAATATATAGTGAAAAAGTTTATCTTTTATAAACTTAATTTTACAATATAGATGTGACAGCATAGAAAAACTAAAGGCCCAGATACCCAAGATGGAACAAGAATTGAAAGAACCAGGACGATTTAAGGATTTTTACCAGTTTACTTTTAATTTTGCAAAGAATCCAGGACAAAAAGGATTAGGTAAGAATTTTTAAAAATTATATTTGGTGTTTCAAATATATTCAAATACATTGACAGCGTCACGTTTGTAATAGAAAGTTCTATGTTTTGAGTATAAAGTCATTATCAGTTACTGAAAAATACTGAGAAACTGAACTTCTAGTTAATCAGAAAATACCAATAACAGTGTTACCCTGGATACTATATGTGAACCACTGATTTTTTTTTTTTTTTAAGAACTACAATACAGAAAATAGTTGTTAAAATTCCACTGACATAGGTATGTATGTTTGATCATTTATTTTTCAGAAGATATTATAGGATCTTAGGCTCATAAGTTTTTCACTGTGTATTTGTTGAAATAGCATTGTAAGATTTCTGAGTCACAGAATGCCAGATAAATGTATTCTTTTTTGGTGTGAATTATTTGGAAACTATAAGAAAGAATAAAAAAATGATTGTCATTCATAATCTTATCCAGAAATAGCCACCGTTAACAGTTTAGATCAGTCAGTTTATACTGTAGAAACAACCACATATTTGCTTTGGGGATGGCTAAGGGAAGTGGAGGTAAAAGCTACAGTGTAATTTGCAGATTATTCAGAAAAAGTAGACAGCACATAATGCAAAATAATAAATATGAGTGTGAGGGTTTTAGATGAAAGGAGAAATGAGTAAAAGCAG